TAAATTTCCAATATAATTGTGAGCTTTGATTTATTATAAATTCTAAAACTTAAAAACTATCTATAGGCATGACCCAGTGAAAAATAATAGCCCTGTTGTTATACAGCTGGTCAAGGTTTCGACTCTGCCAGTGACATAACCAATCTCTCTACTATTTATTCATTCTTTCGTTTCGATGGTAAATTGGTACTGGCATATGCTAGGAAGTCGATTTTGTTATTGGGTGGTTGCTTTTGGCATTTGCTGCCTTTCGGACTACTTCTCGAGTGCCTTCGCCTCTTATAGGGGACGAATATGGAAGGGGTTTTGATCAAAGTTGCAAAAAAAAGACCTAACATTTGACTAAAATAAGCTGCGTGCTTGTACCTCTCTGACCTGTGGCTGCTTCTTAGTAACGTAATTCCGTGTCGTTATTCCGGGAGGTATTGGTAAAATAGGGCACATTTTCCTGCGTGTTGAAGTTTGGCTCCAAGAATTTTTTTTTAAATTTCTACGATAAAAAATAGAGAATCTTTGTCATTTCGATAATTTATAAAATTATTAAAATTATCCAAATTTTTATGTTCTAAATGGTGCTGTGGATTTATTGGGAAGAGCTGAATGAGCAGACGTTTTCCGGGGAAACAGAAGTGCATGAGTTGTGATTTTTTGATGAATTAGCTTTTTCCCTGTTAGAATAACATTCCTTAAGCAAACCCGGAGCTTCTGGTGAAGGGGAGGGGATAGGGAGGAGAGGCTGGACGCTTCCGGGGTTGTAATTGAAATTTTCATGGATTACTGTGAAAATCTAATCTCCCGTTGTTTCAGACCTAGTTCGCGAACGCTGGGATCCGCTTTCACAACGTCACTGCCGCAATTTGGCATTGCTATTGAACCAGTTGATTGATGAATGCCCAACATTGATGGTGAGTAGTAGACCGGTGCAAAAACTTCTCCAGACGATCTGTCAGCGAGCTCAGGAAGCCATCGACGAGGATTTATTTGTTCCACTCTATTCAAAACAGTATGTTTTTTTTTTAAGAGGCTCGATTTACCTAGATTTTTCGTACTAAAAGGTTTAAATATTACTGTCGGAAAATTTTGTTTCTCAATTTGATTAGGCAAAAAAAAAAAAAACTACAGTTTGCCAACTCACCCTCCCCTCTGCCCGAAACACACAAAAAGAGAGAGACCAAATCCCAGAAACATGGGGCTCAGGAGATGATGGATCAATACCCAACCACTGTAGATGGAGGGATAGTGATGGGACGCTGTGAAAACCCAGCATCCCACCGTTATAGTTTTTATGCGTTTTTTGCAGCAATGCAATGCGAAAAACGCATATTGACGAGAGGTTGTCTG